GGTGTAAAGTGCGGCTCTGCTGGCCCGCAGCCCCGCTGTACCCGCGGCCTGGTGCCGCTGCCGGGGGCTCTGACAGCGGTGCCTTGAGCTGTGGGTGAAGCTACGCGAAAACTGCGTTTAGGCCAGCCCTGCTGCGTTCGAGTATGTGCTTTTTTAATTTAGGTGGGTTGTTACATACACTGATATGTTTTAAAAAAACCAAACCCTCAACGAACGAAACTGGGAGAGCAGGTTTGGAGGATGGCCGTGTTTGAGAGTGAAAATGAAATTGTTACGTTGTCAGTTTGACAGCTCGCAGTTGCTTTAGGTAGCTACTAAGTCATTCTCCTCTGATGTTTGAGTTCCTCCTTGAGACTAGAGTGGATTTGTATCTGAAGTGCTGATTTTGGCATCAAACAATAATTAAAGGCTTATTATTGATCTATTTTATTTTACAAGATTGCTCACATGTAATAAACTGAAAGAATAGATTTGTAGTAAGAAGAGTGCACAGTGAACTGTACTGATTTAGTGGTATTTAAACGTGTGGTGTGTAAATGTTTAGAGGTGTTGTGATGAAAGAGGAGCTTTTAGAATAATCTATTTTGAAGAAACTATCATTACTGTTTGCAGTTGGATCTAGAAGCATTTCAAAGTAATGTAGTGTCAAAGTAATGTATTTCAAAACCATTCAGCTATAGGGTATCTGAAAGAATGGTGTATCAAATATTTGACATGTGTGATGGTTTGAAAGTCCTAACTGTACTCTTGCATGTAGTCGGAGTAATTACATAAACACTGTTATTTACCTGAGAATCATGTCTTCATAGTCGGGTGTAGTCAGCCTGTGATGCTTTATGTGATTCAGGTGTGGCTTCTTTGAGTGACGGAGTGAGATTGCCATGGTGCAGGGATGCGAGGTACGTACAGCCTCTGCAGGAGGAGGGAGGAAGCAAGCTGGTCTAGTCCTGGTGCCCTGTCCCACAGCAAAGCTAAAGCAGTAACAGCCCAACATGGGAGCTGTTGCTGTTCAGCTGTTCTGAAAATCACTGCTCTGTGGTATTTTGTGGCTTTCAGGTGTGTGAAGTTTGATACGTAGCCTGTAGGTCATGAGGGTTTGCTGTTCTGGTCTAATGTAATACATCTTCACACCTACGCAAGAAAATGTGCCTGGATAGCTGTAACAGTGGTACTGAAACTGAATGTAACTTGTCAGACCCTGAGTTTCAAATGGTACTGAAGCTGAATGTAACTCATCAGACCATGAGTTTCACCTTTGATATATGATGAAATATGTAAGTGTTATTGACTCTTGGAAAGAAAGAAAAGGATGGAAGAAAAAGTAGAGCAAAAATTGATTATTAGCAGGTTCTACCTCCTGAATAGGAAGTGCGTACCTTACTAGACAGTAATGGTATTTTACGCAGTAAATCCAACAAGTCTTTTGTGTATATGTGTGCACTGTATTAGTCACTGCACACCGGGGTTTGTAGATTGTCTTCTGTGGAGCAATAAAAATGATGTCCACGTAAAACCATTTAAAATGTAGCTAGAGTAAAATGTGGAGAAAAGACTTTAAAGTCCAGTGCAGAAAACGAGACTTCATGTTGCAGTGTGTGGGGATGGAGCTGATGAATGTCATAGCAGATGCCTATGGAATGGCTGAAGTGGCTTTTAAGTTGCAATTTTCTGTCTTCTCAGGAGATAATTTTGGAAGGAGAGATTGTTCAGTTATTCAGCCTGTGGTTGTATTTGAGTTTGTTTCCTCGTGCAGATTGTGGTATCAATACCCCGTTTTTTCAGGGATGAAGTTCCTTCACCTTTTGCGTGAAACATTGATGGATTTTGATGTACTAGGAGAGAAATTTCTTGAATTCTAGATCCTTTTCAGATACCAGACTGTTCTTTACCCTCTTAGCTGAACTATCTTCTCTCTCATCCCTCTGTATTAATTCTGAGTTCAGAATTTGCTCATTTGCTTTTGCTCATTATTGTTGCCTGCCCGATGGCCTCATTCAGCCTGATGGCCTTGCAGCAATTTGTGTTGTTAACCTGTTTTGTTAAAAGGGAGCATTCGAACCAAACTATTAAGTTAAACTATAATTTAAAAGATCTTGCAAAGTTTTTCACTATCATAGAAACTAAAGGTGCAGTGTCATTATAATTTTAGTAAAGAGAGTGAGGTCTTTAGAGGTGGAGAGTTTTCCAGGAGTCTTCCGTAGCATGTGTAATTGCTAGGCTAAGAGGGTGGTCAGTGTGTTTGTGAGAATTCTTGATATAAATCTCAGTTCAGGGATTCCTGCATGTCTAAAGTTATTCATCAACTTAGTACAGTCTAAAATGATACGTGGGCACGTTTTCACAGGCTACCTCCTAGGTGGTTCATTTAGACACTTGTAGTAATTTCTTAATTATTAGGCAGTGGGAGTTTAGATATCCTAGTTGCTGGAAAAACCTGTATAACGTGTACTATAAAATGTACTGGGAAGCACACAGCAGTATTCAGGGACAGTGTAGATATAGCTGAGTGCTGGGGGTTTTTTAGGGGGCGTAGGGTGGGAGGGTGCTTCTTGCTGACTTTCCCAGATGTTCACAGGTGTTCACAGGCTCTTGCTGAGCTTTTCAATTGTATCTGTGTTCCTCAGTGCTCCAGCTGCTGGGCAACTGTAGCTGAAAATTTTGAAAGCTTAAGTTGGTGCCCAAAATGGTAAATTTGAGTTCAAACAATTGTTGAAAGGTGCGTCCTGAAAAATAATGTAGTGGAATATGACACATGTACTTCTTAAAAAGTTATTTCCTAGCATTGCACATAGTCTTGTGGAATACAGTGTTGTTATTCCTTTAGATTTGCATGTAGGCCACATGAGTTATTGAAAATGGCTATTTATGGTTGCAAAATTCTAATGAAAATTGACACAGCAGAAGGCATAAAACAATTACACCTAGAAATACTTTTGCTATGTGATTCTTAAAAGAAATCAGAGGATTAAACAGATTGCAAGAATGAATGGTTCTTGAATAATGATCAGAATGAATAATTTTAGTGAGAGGCTTTCAAGCAGAGTGCATTTTTTTTTGGTGTAAGGAAGTCTTTTTTTATAGTATGTTGGTGTGCTGCATGTCTGACTTGCCCTAGAATTATTGCTTTAGTTACAACATTTCTTGCCTGAGTTTGTTTCTGGAGTCAAGAAGTGGTCGGAAGATGGGCTGTATTAACCCTATGTATTTAACTTGCACCATGTGAAATATTTGATATTTTGAAGAGGTTGCTGCATCCTAAATTTGTTTTCTTGTAATTCTGTGTGTTGCTTTTAGGATTTTAGAAGCACTACTCGGTGTTTATTGATTGTAACTCAGTTACACTATTTGAATGTGTGACTGTCGTTAAGTACATTAAATATTTAGTTGTTAAAAATGTTTGCATTTCAACATTCTGCAAATGGTTATATCTTTATTACAGTGATAAACAGAGAAGGTGACCATGACGACCTTCCTGGAATTTATTCAGCAGAATGAGGACAGAGATGGAGTTAGATTCAGCTGGAATGTTTGGCCTTCAAGTCGTCTTGAAGCCACAAGAATGGTAGTCCCGGTGGCTGCCCTCTTCACACCACTGAAGGAACGGCCAGACTTGCCTCCTATTCAGTATGAGCCAGTTTTGTGCAGCAGGACCACGTGCCGAGCTGTTCTGAATCCCTTATGGTAAAACTAATACATATGTTATACCAGTATTTTTTGTTGCAAATAACCTTCAGAATAGTGCCAGTTAAACTATGCAGAAGATCTGGTGTGTGGAAGTTCAAGTACTCCTCACATGAGTACACAGCTCGAACTTCTAGAAGTTTTTGCATGTAGATTTAAATATGTAACACATATACTTAAGACATGGCTTTCATTTAACTAGTCTTTTCAACGTATTTCTTTTATCTAATGATTAGGTATGTTATTTGTCTGGATCTACACATCTTATGTCATAAGGCATCTTATGTGTAGATGTCTTATTATGTGTGGAGGCATATTCTAGAGTCATTTTGCCTCTAGAAAATTACTTAAGTAAGAAGTTACTGTGCGATATCTTTTTAGCTATTGAGCTTAAAACGAGAGTTAAAATTGTTTGCATAAAACTGTGCAGGAAGTCTCTAATAGAAGTTCTGAGTCTGTATTCCAAAATTTCTATTTTGCTTCTTTTTATTGAAGACCATTCTTCGTCTCCAAAGACAATAATTTGCCTGATACATTTGTGTAAGACTGCACTTAGTGTGAATTTGTAATATGTGTATTTAGGACAAAATATATCAGGAGGAAGCTTTCTCAAAGTCACTGTGTTTTTGAAAAATTAAAAGAAACTTATTCTAGGATCAGTGGAGGAAAATGAATTGTTTGTGCTATGTAAACTTTTCTTATTGTATTTTTATAGCCAAGTGGATTATCGAGCAAAACTCTGGGCTTGCAACTTTTGTTATCAGAGAAACCAGGTAAGAAAATGAAACAGTTAGGATATAGAAAATCTTTTTTATAAGGTAAAAGTGAAAATCCTCATTTTTCAAATTACAGTTGCGAACAGAAATTGACAGCAAGAGTGTGAGTGTGCAGTTACATCTTCAGAGACTTCATTGAGATTTTTTTCATGATAGCAATAGTGAACATCTGTTGCAGAGGAAGGTAGTCCATATATATGTTTTTGGTTTTGTGGAAGTTGTAATCTTATACTTAATTTCTGTGTTTTTATAGTTTCCTCCTACCTATGCAGGCATATCTGAAATGAATCAACCAGCTGAACTGTTGCCTCAGTTCTCCAGCATTGAATATGTAGTACAGGTAAAATCATTAAATAATATCTTTAACATCTATAGCCTTGCAATATACAAAAATAATTAATTTAAATTGTATTTATTCACTTTATTTTAATGACTGTGAGTCTATATGTGCTTGTTAGTAGATTGAACATTTATGTCATCAGTTGGAAATAGAAAACACAACTTTTTATAAGAACACAAGGATGGCTAATAAGACTGGTTTAAAAAAAAAAAAAAAAAAAAAAGAAAAAAGAGAGGTCTCTTCTGAAAGCAATGTTTCTGTTAGGTCTATTTCTTTACGAGGAGTTTAATTTGTGTTTGTGCCGGGGATCTGCTTACTGGTGTTGCTTGCCCAGATGATTTCAGTTCAAATTTTGCTGACTGTTGATTCGGCTCTCATTAATCATTGGAATGATTCCAAGTTAGTTTTATGGCTAGCTGTTAGAGAAAACAGCTAATACATGTTAAAATCAGGTGTTTGAATTTTAATATTCATCCTTTTTTAGGCTAGCACTTACTTGAATAAAAAAAGAACCTGAAACCCAAAATTGCAAACACTTTGCAGCCGTACAGTTGTAATCTCTAAATTCCATTTTTGAGGATTAAAATTTGTAAGACTTCAGTGAGGTGTTCAGATTATGAAAAGAAGAGCAGAGACTGAACAGAACCTCTACTTTTTGCCAACTCTTGTAACACAGAGCAAAGGCGATATTTGCTCATAGCACAGCAAAAGTAGTTTAGAAAGAATAAAAAGAGCTGATGATCTCTACAGTAAGATTATGAGGTGAAATGCCACAGAATGTCAGCAGGTTGGAATATTTTATACTTGTGAATAGCTTTATGACTATTATTTTCACTTAGAGCAATAAACGGTCATTGTTTATTAAAAGATTGATGTAATTGGCACATGCTTCAAAACTATGATGACATCCAGAAAGGATTTTTTTCTTTTCTTCTGTATTAAGCATTTCATTTTTATGCAGAGTTCATTATGGTAGGGGTAGCCCTAGATAATGATTACTACTTGAGTGGGAGCCAAGTTAGTTGGAACATGTACATTATTGGTCTGATTAAAGTTAAAACTTTTACAAAATGTACTTTACGTGTT